GAACATTCGACGGCTCGCGAACATCTCTTCACTTATCAATACGTGTACATGACTATACTGTCTTACAGAAATTGCAATAGTTAATTATTATTTATTTACTGCGGAGATCACTAATGCAGTCATCACGAAACACATAATGTGTTTTGTAAATTATTTAAATTTTTGTTTGCATATTTGTTTGTTGACATTGGTGGAACACTGGTGTTCTATCCCGGGGACGGCGACATTCCGTGCCGCATGTGCCGTTATCAGTTTCCCGTGAGGCTCTCTGCTACGCCGTGACCGTCAACAAGTCGCAGGGGCAGACGTTCGATCGCGTCGGCCTGTCGCTGACGGTACAGCCGTTCGCCCGCGGACAGCTGCACGTGGCGTTTTCGAGGGTGCGCAACCAGAATTCCATCGGGATGTACACTTTGTCGGCCGTGGACGGACAGTGCGTTGTGAAAAACGTCGTGTACAGGGAAGTATTAGAATGATTTTGACGTAAATCGTGTGTTTAATGGCGACATTGAACGCGATCCCGCGGTACAGCGGGTAATCGAGTGTTTTGAACGGATTAAGCGGTGTAATCCGGGCAAAATGCTCGATTTTGACGGGCGTGACTTGAGCGTTTATGCGAATATTCTGCCCGTGTCCCTCGAAACTGCTATTTTCCCGTGCTGTGCATTTGCCATTTGAACCCCGAATGGCATGTGTACGGGCGGGGAAATTTCCGTTTTGTGCGGAGTGATCGTATGACAACCTTCACGTAGTTCTCTCTGAATGCAAATCCGTTAAACGTTCGTGGTATTAAATAAAATATCACAATAACAGTAATATACATTTTTAAAATATTTGCATTACAAGTCGATATGACAGTCACTTTTTGCCGTACGGATTCGTTACAAATGTCATGCGTTATAATTAAAATTTATTTGCATATTATAATATATTTATTTGTTTGATTAACGTTCGATTTCTTTTCCAGAACTTAAACGAATTAACACAAATAACTCGGAGGACGTATGTAACACGACGGACGTTTCGACAATATAATATCATCTTATGCGGGACCGACATGAAATTCCTGGAAATTATCATGCACGGCAACTTACTTTCTACGCTTCATTAGAAATTATTATCGACCATTTGTGATACATATTTTTATATTGTTTAATATTATACGCATACATTATCTATTATATATATTTTTTTTTTATTAAAGAGTTCAAATGTAATAAAATATTTTTATGGCAAACAATTATTGAACAAATCATTTTTCTTTTTGCCTGTTCTGTAGTAACGGTTTAATATATTAAAATTTGCCTTTATTTTAACTTTCTCATTTCAATATGAATAACGTTCATCGTACGAATTAGGTTTGAAATGTCGTTAGCAAATTTTGCGCTATACGAATTCAACATCTTTTTTTAATATTTAGATATTTTTATTTTTTATTGCATATTATTATTATGAACTCCTTTTAATTTTTTTCATTTTACAACATATTTTCGTCTGCGATATTATTATTGTTTAATTATTCTGCTTGTAAACATCACGATAATTGTTTTTATATATGTTTTATACTCGGATTGCTCTATCCTTTTATATACGAGAATTAAAGTAATGAGTACAACACCAATAGCTTTGTTACATACATTATTACATCAATAAAATCAATAGAAAATAAACAATATAATCGATAGACGTACCTATGTTAACATTTTATATTATTACCGCACCAAGATATATACATGAAATAAGTAACAAGTATTATGAACAATGCATAGTTGAACCAAAGCAGTTTTTTTTTTTGCCACGGCTAATTAACTGGCCTACCCTGGTTACATCCATAATATTTTTTGTTATTCAAATCTGAAAGTGAAATATATTACACTACTTATTGTTAATTATTTAAACGTATCGTTCGGGTTTAAATAAATACATACACTACTTAGATTTCTGTACGTTGTACCATAACGCGCACACATGAAACGACATAGAATAATATATATAAATGACAATAATAATATAACAATAATACTGTCTTAAACGCGCTTCGCGTCTCGCTGTTATTTGTTAGTTCGTTGTAATACAGTATAGTTGTTATTCTACGGTAAAAGTGTTTATTACTTCGATATATTACACCTCGTAACAGATACTAGATACTAGATACTAGATATAAGATACAAGATACTAGATATAAGATTCTNTATACCGTAAAAGTGTTTATTACTTCTATATATTACACCTCGTAACAGATACTAGATATAAGATTCTACATACTAGATACAAGATACTAGATATAAGATACAAGATACTACATATAAGATACTAGATACTAGATATAAGATACTAGATAAAGGATACTAGATACTAGATTAGATACTAGAGATTAGACTAGATACTAGAGATTAGACTAGATACTAGAGACTAGTTTAGATACTAGAGATTAGACTAGATACTAGATACAAGATACAAGATATAAGATATGTGGCCCACGAATGTTCCAGAATGTTCGACCGCCACCGCCTCTAGAAGATTCCTCTGACTATTTAAGAGCAAGATCGTCGTTTCAGTCAATCACTTACGCATTCTGTCTTNGATGGTAAATATCAAATTATAGGATATCAGAAAAAAATGATATCGGACCAACTCTTATAACTATACTTAATACTATAATAATTAATAATTAGCTTTAAATTAATTACAATAAATTTAACCAGAAAAACCTTATGGTTCAGACCAGAAACCTAATCTCCAAAACATCTTTATCAATTTTAATTTTTCATCAGTAAGACGATGTCTTATTTTGCC